TCCATTAGTTAGAAAACAACATCACACTTTCACCACTTGGTGGTGTATTTTCTTTGCTTTTAATGCTAATAAGACGTCTGATGAACTCACTTGCAGGACAAAAGCGGCCACTACGCCCAGGACGGCTAAGAGCATCATCCGACCCATCCAGCCCAGGTCGATGTTCTTGGAGAGCAGGAAGCGTGCCCTGCTGAGCTTCTTGGCCGTGTGAGGTGGATACCTCATGCTGTTGATGCCCTCCATCTTCAGCTTCTTGATCAGACAGCTGCGCAGGTGGCTCAGCTGGTCGAAGGTGAACTTGCCGTGGTAGCAGCCCATCCCACTGTTCCCTGTTTGCCACAGACACATAAGTCAGTTGTCCATCGATCCATGACAACAGACATAGAAATCCAAGGTCCAGACAGACTTTGTGACCTGCTTTTAAACAGTTACTGAAGTTCAAGTTCTAAACAGCTACAGTCGGTGAACACAGCGGGATTTGAACCTGCGACAGTTTTTACCTCACAGCACACCTAGTTGGTTTTTATAACTGAACATTGACTTTTGTTCAACTTTCACACAGTCATTTCACTAACCCATAGCCTGCTCTAAAAAATACACCTCTAATCCAGCAGGGGGCACTCAGGGGGCATTTTCCATGAATATTTACATGTTAATTGGTAATAAAAAAAATCGATACAGTATCGTGAAACTAAATATTGCAATTGTATTTTGATCTCTGATTATCTGTATTTTCTCACAGCTCTACTCCCTTCCTTTTTTATTTTCTAACAGTTCTGAGGAGGTGAACCGGGGTGAATGGGTTCACCTACAGTCGGCGCTGCTTCAACTCACCCACTCCTCCAAAGGGCAGACTGCTGACAGAATAGTGAATCAGACAGTCGTTGGCCACCATGGCTCCACTGGACGTGGACGACAACATTTTCTGAATCACCTTCACGGAGAAGAAACGACAAAAGACGTTTTTCAGACGAGATAGTTCTAAAAAGTACATATAATAAATAACTCAACACCATCTCTTCCAAATACCTCATTATCAGATGAGAAGATGTAGAGGGCCAGCGGTTTCTCTCTCTTCTTGATAAACCTGATGGCTTCGTCCAGGTCACTGACAGGCAGGATGGGCAGCAGAGGTCCAAAGATCTCCTCCTGCATCACCTTGGCCTCCGGCTTCACGTCCCGGAGAATCGTGGGAGCTGAACACAACAGACGCATAATTTTACTTTTTTCAGTTTTCTCTGAACTACTGTTTCTACAGGTGAGGTTTTTTCTCAGCTTCCTTACCGATGTAGCAGTTGGCCTCGTCGTTGTCGCCCCCTAGTGCCACGGTGCTGTCGTCCATCATGGCCTTGATCCTCTTGAAGTGTCGCTGGTTAATGATGCGTCCGTAGTCAGCGCATGTTTTGGGGTTTTCAGTGTAGAAATCCTACCAGAACAGAAAATTTAATAAGAACAGTGACAACACCAAGTCCTTTCAGAATAAAAGCATCTGGACTCTGAAGGTCTTTCACTTTACTTTGGAGGGAAGTGGATTATTGAGTTTGGTTTTTGTGTCGTTGGTGTTTGGCTCTAACAGATTTCACTGGTATAATACGTATCATATGTGTGTTTTCTGTCTTCCGTACCTTGATGGCCTTCCTGATCTCCTCAATGACTCGCTCCTGGATGCTGGGGTCACAGAGGACGTAGTCCGGAGCGATGCACGTCTGACCACAGTTGGTGTATTTTCCCCAGGTGATGCGTCTGCAGTGAACAGGTAGGGAGAGTGTCTGACACCAAGCTCTGGGGCGGGGAACATTCCAGGTTCCACCGTTTACGTTCTCACACTGTTTTTACCTGCAGGCTATGGTGAGGTCACAGTTCTTGTCGATGTAGCAGGGGCTCTTTCCTCCCAGCTCCAGGGTGACGGGGGTGAGGAATTTGGAGGCAGCCTCCATGATGGCTTTTCCCACCAGGCTGTTCCCGGTGTAGAAAATGTGGTCGAAGCGCTGACGCAGCAGCTCCTGGGTCTCGACCACTCCTCCTGTCACGACAGGGTACAGCTCCTGAAACACGCAGGGAGGAAACACACATTCAGGTATGTGTGGTGTTGTTGTTCAACAAAGACAGGATTACAAGCATTTATTAAAATACATTTTTATACAAATTTAACAGCCTTTACTGGAGATTTGATTAAACATAATATTTTGCAGTAACAATAATAACAATTATTGTTACTATTATTATTTTTAAATAAGTTATAGTAAATTATAATAAGTTATATGTTTGACATATTAAAAATTACATCTCCAAAATTATCAGCCAAAAAACAACAACTTTAAGACTTCCTGATTAGTAATCCCAAGAGTGATCACAAGATGTCACTGTCAGCAGTCATGAACCTGGGTTACACAGTTACTAGTTCTGGTGTGAACCCAGACGTGGTGTGAATCCACTCTTACTTTGTCAATATAGAGGGGCAGCAGATCCTCCATGACCTTGGCAGTGTGAACGCAGACCTCAGATGGTTTGATCACAGCCGCGTTTCCTACACATGGAAACAACGACAGCATGATTAATGTGACAGTCCTACAGCAAAGGCATCACTTCCCTTCTTTTTCAGCTCAGCTGTTCATCTGTCAGCTGTTCTCTGAGTGTGTCAGCAGGTCGGTCGCTCCTGTTGTTGTTTTCACTCAGCTTATATAAAAGTCTACGACACACTTGACTCAAGTTTTATAAAATAAATACTAACAAAAGAAAGGCAACTAAAAAAATGTTTAGTCAAATTTAGAAATGTTGATTTTTATAGATTCATTTTGGACAACAAGCCACGATAATCAGATTAAAAGTTGGAGATTTGTTTGACATCCACTGTAGGTCACATTAATGATCATCTGAAGGTGGCGTTGTCTTCCTCTTGTCTCACTGTGCTCTTTGTCCCATCCAAAAGTCAAGGGTAAGACTTAGTGGAGCACAAGCCAAGACCTATGCTCTACTGAGTCGACACTACACCCCCCCCTGGTGTAAGATCTGATACTGCCACAGAGCAAAGGATAAAGTCCAGGCTGTGTAAACACCCAGACTCACTGACACTTGACTCTTCAACCAGAGTCAGCGTTCGACACCGGGTGGAAATAGTTTTTTATACAAAAATAAATATGGATATCTGTTCTAACTTAAAGCTATTAGCTGAGCACAGTGACATGGAGACGGTGCTGAGTCAGCTGTTCTGTGTTCAACCACAGAGAGGGAACAGCCCTCACTACAGTTTACATGACAAAAAGCCAGAGTTCACAGACTCACGGCGTGGAGCGGCCGTGAATTATTCATGGGTTTGCTCATCGTCTTGATCCAGAGTGAGAGTTTTTTCCAGAGGTCACCGTTTGACTTTTCACCCACTCTGATTGAACTTGTGTGATGATAAAAAGAAAGAGTAGGTCTAATCACAAAACTGCACCAAAATACTCACAGTCCCCACCTGTGGTACAGCCACACCTTCAGTGAGTACTGGGACAAATGTCAACGGAACAAGATAGTACTGTGAGATAGAACGCTGACCTTCTCACACCTTAGAACACCTTCACGCAAACACACAAGGTGTGAAAACACCTGGGTTGACCTGTTGACGTGTTCCTCAGCACGAGGAACAGATGGAACGGAAGAGGTGTCACAGGAATGGGACGACGATGTGGTTCAATCGGTCCAATTTTGAAACAAAATCGACGACGTCGTGACTGCCTACAAGTTACTCTTCGACTGGAAAAAGAAGCAACTGCCGATCTGAATGTTTGGTGAGCCGGTTCCTGCTACTACACTTTCGGAAACCGTGGAAGAGGAGCCCCAAGAAATGGCACCACCCTCTGAAGAGACGTAAAATCAATCATCGGCTGCACAGTAAAAGTCATCATCATTTTACTGCGCATAAATATGATGTCACTACTTCGCGGAAATTCAGTTCGATAAACGAGGGACCGCTGTCCTGTAGCTACTGTGTGATAACAGTCAACAGCTTCTGTAAGTCACACCAACGAACGTGATTCATGGAAATGGGAGGAAGGAAAAGAAGTACCAGCAGCGATGGCTCCGATGAGAGGCTTGATGGTGACGGCCCACGGATAGTTCCAGGAGCCAATGATCAGCACCACTCCCAGTGGCTCGGGCTTGATGTAGATGGTGTCAGAGATGGTAACCAGGTTCTTCTCCACAGGTCGGGGGGCGGCCCACTCCTTCAGCTTGCTGACGGTCAGGTTGATCTCCGATTCCAGACCCAGGGTCTCATACAGCTCTGTCCCCACAACACTCTGTGGAAAATAGATTTTAAAAAATCTGGTTTTTATTGAACGTTTAAAGACCTGATCTCACGTCCAAAGTTCCTGTTCCTCTCATTTACAAAAATCAGTATTTGTCATTTTATAGAACATCAGCAGAACATCTCGGGGGGGGAAAACACCCTTGTAGATGCTTGTGTTTGTGGAGCTCTGCCCTGGACGTCCGAGGTTCCACACTGACCTCCACACTGACCTTCATGAGCCACAGCTACTCGCTGGAGATACTGATGAACTTGGACTCGCCGCTCACCTTATTGAGGTCCTTCATGAGGGCATCTGAAATCTCCTTCTGTCTCTCAGTGAATAGACGCTTCAGGCTCTTCAGCTGGCGGATGCGGTGATCCAAACACAGGGACCTTCCTGTTTCAAAGGCCCGTCTGGCACAAGCCACCGCCTGCTGCTCTCTGGACATTCTGGGGACACAGTCAAAATCACCAATTACTTTTATTGTTCCGATCCTCCACGTTTTAACCAGTGTGTCTGTTGCATCACTGCAGCGAATGAGACAGAAATCCAGTTTCCTTTATAGGTCGTAAAAGCCTGAACTAGACTGTATAAACAAAGTTCGGTTCATTTTTGTCGACTAAATCTAATTTAAATTGTGTATTTAAAAAAATATTAGTCAAATAAAACAACACTAAAGTCGACAGGACCAAATTGAGACGAAAACTAAGATAATTTTAAGCAATTTTAGCAGTGTGAAACAGAGCCAATAGTTGGCAGTAATGCAACTCCAAAAGAGTGCAGTACTGATGGTATAACACAGGAGGTGTACAGCTCCTGAACTCTGTGCTATATGAAACGGACCAGTCTGTCAGTTTAGTAGTTTTTTAGAACCTGAAATAAATCTGACTGATTTAACGAATTGTTTTCATACACAGGTATAAAGTGACACCAGTGCAGACACAACTCATGGACCGGGCACATCGTCACTACATCGTCAGCGACCTCTGCAGTTAAGAGAGAGGTATTTACGTGTTTATCTAAGTTTAACAAAAAACAAACAAAGAATATCCCTTACGGCCACGTTTAAGGACCGCAGCCCGTTCTCCTACAAACCCGTTTTTGTTGTTGTTGTTTTTTTAAACTGTGGTTTTCAGTGTTGCTCTTTGTCCGGCAGCACAATACGATGAAAAAAGACACCATGAGAATTATGTATTGACACACACACACACCCTGTGTGTTTATTTCACTCTAACTAAACTACACCCTACATCACAGATTACTCTCCAAAAATGGCGAACTTAATTTGACGTGATAATGTTGCCCTGTACAGTTATAGACGTGCTTTCTTTCTGGAACTTACCACGGCTGCGCTGATCGGACTTGAAGCTTAACACGACAAATAGCAGGAACATAATGCTGTAAATGTGTTTAATTCTCACCTGAGTTGTTTCAGTACAGAACAAGAAGGAACCTCCGGGTGTTGATGGTTCGTTACCACAGTAGACGGATCCGCATAGGAAGGCGCTGCAGGTCGATGACACTAGCGGTTCTCCTTCCCCTCCCGTTAGACTCCGCCCACAAACATACGCGTCACGTAATGGGCGGGGATTTGGTCTGTGAGGGTGGGGCTAAAACAGCGTCTGAGTCTGAAACCTTCATCAGCAAAAGCGCTTTTTAGAATAATCTTACCAGTAAATAAAATTCGCCGAGAGCGAAAACATTTAAATGACGACAGTTGAGCGATGTATACATTTTAAAATACAGTAGTGATTATATTTATAAAGTACACGTCGATAATTGGTGGACAATTTACAACAATTTTATGAGTTGTTTAATAAATTGTCAGCAATTGTACCAAAGAAAAAGAAACGTCCAGGCAACGATATTTATCGAAATAATCGCGGTAGTATAGCATGTAGTATGACACACATTATTAGTATAATCACGTACAGTGATTTGAAGTCTACATTTCTTGCTCCATCCTAAGATGACATATCGTATCTTGAGTTAACAGGAGAGTGCCTTCATATTATTATTATTCTTACCGTTAGCAAGCTAGCCAAACATTTAGTGTAAAACATTTTTTTTTTCTTTTTAAACACAGTCAGGCTCACGAGCCAATTGTTCCTCAGAGAGTGACTGGAAAAAATACAGGATGGAATTCCTTGTATTGGTTTTATACCTGCTTCATACAATTAATACTGATGTGTGAAGAAATCAAGTCCTAGATGGTAAAACTGGTAACCAGTAACTCGGGAAAATTAGTCTAAACTGTAAACCCACAGCTATGAGGGGATTTGCTCTTGTCCCCCTGTTTTATGAGTTTTACACGCCACAGCTTGCCTCTTGTGGTATGCAGGCAGGAATTCTTTGACTTTTTTTTAACACTTTAAATGGACTTCTAAACGGTCGATATTTTAGTATGAGCTTTAGCTGTTTATAACATAAAATATGTATTAAATCACACTTTGAATTCCATGAACAAGAGCAACTAAAATGGAATTGTTTCTGAAAAAAAAATCTAAATTTAAAACACACGTAATCTCCAAGATTCCATAATCTCCAAATTTTGCGGCAGAGAAATAAAAGCTACTTAGTAAAACTACAAATCTGGGTAAATGCTGACGTGTTGGTTTCGCTCTGTAGTTGTGGATAAATCTGTTTTTTAACCGGTGCCAGGAATGACACGTACCCTGGAGATCTCAGCACCATGTGATCCTGTGTGACGCAATGATCCAGGCTGCTCTTCCAGGAACATAATCCTGGAATAACATCTGGGTCGTCCAAGTCCCACAGGTGCAGTTATACAATAATAATAAAAAGAAATAACGACGACTTTCTTTAGATCATTATATGACATGACAAAGTTACATGTATATAGATTTATTTGTACATTTTTAGTCTTTAAAAATGTATTTTATTCATTACTAAACATGTTTTTTACAACAACAAATTCATAGGTCACATAGGCAGTTGCCTAGGGCGCCATCTGGTGGAGGGGCACGGGTTTGTAGGTCACCCTCAGCTCATTTTGCATAGAATTATCTTACTATATATATTATGACTATGTTATATTATTATATAACCCGACCCACACATCCAGATCAACAAGAGGAAATAAAAGTTTCAAATTCGGTGGAAGTGAATTCAAAATATGATGTGATTTAATGACCCACCTGTGATGCTCCCACATTCTTACTGCTTTAAAGCCTTTAATGAACCCAACAGGATAGAGAGACATTTTAACAGTGTTGTTCCATTTTTTAAAATAATCTCAACTCGTTGTGTAAACTATTCTAATTTTGGCTAAATAATCAGATTGGAGATCAAGAACAAAACTAATCTCATGATTGGAGATTAAGAACAAAACTAATCTCCCAAATTGAATCTGGGTCAGTTCTCATCGGTGATGCCTCGGCTTCATGTTAAAATATGGATTAGTTAAACGTTAACTTTATTTTAATCTTTTTTTTGTTTTTCCCTTGTTTAAACTCTCTAATGTAAAGAGTCACACCACCGTGTCATGTGACAGAACCTACAGGATCCGTCTCTTCCATCACATCCATTTCTTACTTCCACGCCGTCTGGAAGACTTTCATCCACTGCCAGGCTGGAATCACACTCAGCTACAAGTTTTCAAATCCAGGGACACTTTTATTTCCCTCCACATGGTCTACGACCAAGACGTAAATCATCAGCCTCGCTGTGCAGAGCAGGGATTAGACTTAAAAAATCTCTCAGCTGGACTGGGAATGTGGACAGAGGTTCTGCATCAAACACTGGTGTGTGTGTGTGTGTGTG